TAGAGAAAAAAAGATAGGCCAGAAGAAAAAAGCAAGTCAGTTAAAATTGTAAACAGTATACCAAATAAATAAATAAACGAAATGGAATGAATGAAAAATTTTTTTTTTTTTTTTTACGCAATTTGTTCATTACCTTCTTCTTTATTAAATTTCATTAATTCTTTTTGCAAGTATTCCACCTGCTTCAGCCTATCGTCCACGTTCTTCTCCAACCTCTTTTTTTCTTCCTCCAGCCTCTTCTTCTCCTGCTTCTCCTCTTCATTAAGCTCATTTCTTCTTGCCTTCCCCCTCAATTCTTCCAACCACTTACCACTGTTCTCTCCTTCTTTCCACCGCTTCAACTCTGCTTCTGCCTTCCTGTATTCCTCAAGTACAATGTCTTTATCCTTTTTTATTTCGTCAAGAGTTGTTGTCATTTTGTAAAGTTAAATTAATTATTTAAAAAAAATTTTTTTTTTATTGATTTAGATCGTAATTGTTATAATTAATTGTTTCTATAAATAATTTGGACCAATGATAAATTAGTGGGCACATGACTTGGAATTAAAAAAAATTTTTTTTTACTATTACGGACAAATGAATTAAATGACAGAAGAAAATTAATTCAACTAATAATAGAAAAATACAAATAATTTATAAAAGTATAAGTTAAAGAATTGTCAGAGTGCTTGCATGGGAGGAAAATACTCGGACCCAAAGCCATTTTTAAGTAAAGTATTACCTATTCTTTGGGCACTCTGATGAAATTCAACTTTCACTATTACTATATACTATTAAGTACTTCTATACAATGCTTTCAATTTTGTAAAACAGTAAAATCCTTTTTTGTAAGTTAAATTCCATTTATTTATTCATTATATTATTAAAAAATCAATGATCATTCCTGAAATGGATAATTTTGTTACACCATTTTAGTTTCGTTTTTTTCTTACGTTAAAAAAAAAAAGTACCACTTAGAAAAATGACATTACACGGACTATATAATACCATTCCAAAATTTACACAAATGTTCTGCTTTTTTTGTTGTTTTCTGAGCAGAAAATAACTTTTCCTGAGCGGGTATTAGATTTTAACTTTTATTAATAACAAAGTTGCTCTAAAATTCGTTTATTTCAATCTAATCATGGAATATTAATATTTGTTAATAAGAATATGGCACGCCATTCTTGACAAAAGTGTACTACATTTTGTTGTAAATAATTTGCAACAAAATGTAGTCCAGCATGGCGTTGCCATATTTTCGAAATGTTCTGATAAGCAACGTGATTTTAATTATTTTGATTGGTAGACCTCAATAGACAATGATTAGATTTTTATCTATGCTACTGCTGATAACAGTAGCCTATTTTTCAGCATACAATCAAACTTGTCACAGCACTGCAGATTATAATTAAATTCTTGTCACGACGGATTTTAAAAATTTTTACTTCACATATAAAAACATATCGAAATCCGTTAATTATATATATAGTCTGTTGTGACGAGGTCTTCCACGACAAGGTTGGATTGTATTTAATAAAATAATAACAGATTTTCGGAAAAAAATTTCTAATTACCCAAGCTATCTGCTAAAACCAAGATTATTGATAAATGATGTTATTTAGTGATGGTGGCCGAAACTATTTTTGAAAAAAAGGCAGTTTCGCCCAATACTATGGTATCCCAATATGTTTTATAATAACAGACATATAATAGGCATCTAAATCAATTTATTTTATTTTAAAAAAAAATTTTTTTTTGCCCAATTTCAGCTATTAATTAGTTTCATCCAATTAATTTCGGCAATTTCGATCCAGTAAGTAAGGTAGTTTCGGCCACCATCACTAATGTTATTATTATTATTAATCGATAACAATAATTATAACGTACTGACGAACAAAAAAAATATATAATTTACAGTTGGACAATTAATAAATATAGTTAATGATTGCTATGTATTCGAATCAGTTCGAATTAATGTTGTTTGACCAGAGTTGTAAAACTATTACGTCAAATTCACTGCCATTAAGTCAACTAAAATATAAAATCTCACAATAAATATATATTTCTTGTGTATCCCAATCTCTTCTTTGTTTATTAGTAGTAGTTGTATCCGCCGAATGATGTTCACTGATTATTCACCGATTATCCGACAAAGTACAGATAATCAACGGTTACAACCAATATTCATCAGTTGTTCCCATGGAGCCAAGTTTTTCTTTTTGCTGAATACGAATTCAGTTCCAAAACACTCATTTATAACGTGACACATGATCAGGGAAGATAAAATCATTGATTGAGAAATCGGTACTTTACGTGATTCATTTTAGTGTAATTATTATCAAATGAAAACTTTACGCAAAAACTTGAAGTTTTCACAACACCAATATTGATTGATTAAGTTACTTTCAATGATTAACCCATCCTTATTTTTATCTCTATTGTATGATCAATGAAAATTTCATCAAGGATAACTTTTGGTCTTTACTTGAAAAGCATAGCTTCAGTCCTCCTCGCGGAGAAAAATAATAAATAATTAACATTCTAATAAAATAAAATTCTGATAGAATCATTATTTTTATTAAATAAAATTAATCATTAAAAAATAAAAATAAAACAAAAACATTGTCTTTATTTTCTTTGTTTAAAGCAATTTGATAATGTGGTTAGTGCTTAGTAAAAGGTAACAATTTGTGGAGCTTTGGTAAAAAGTAATGCTTATTTGCTTTAGTGAGCAAGCAAACAAGATTAGGACTAACGTTGGTTAACTAGCAAGTGTTAACATAAAACTATTAAAAAAGCTACTAAATATAAACAAGGGCACGTGTTGGAGTATATTTTTTTTGGAAAACATGAATTAATAAAGTTTGAGAAATTTTTATAATAAAATTAAACAAAACCTTTTATAATTCTATAATGACCTTTTCCCCTGTCTCATTTGGTTATAAAGTTTATATCTATCAGCAATTTTTTTCAATGTCTTTACTGTATATAAAAAAAAACTCTATTTTTACTATAATTACCCTCAGTTTCATGTTTGTATCTCTTTAGTTGAAGGCTCTGATACAAATTTTATTTAAATAGTTTTTTTATTTAAAAAGTTTATTATTAATTAACTGATGTAAAAGTAACGAATTTAGAAAAAACACAATATGGTTTAGATAATTTTGACATGGTATTGATTTTTAAAGATTATTCGCAATCGCCAACACATATCAATACTATTTCAATGAATCAATTAAAAGATGTAAAAGGATGGCTAGATTCAATAAATATTGTAATATTATGAAGGGACACCAAATTTGAGTTGGAATCAAGATGTAGCAGGATTTCATAAAGATTGGTTGGTATTCTTAGGTACATGTGTGAAAATGATAATGATTTGGAAGCAAAAATGGATTCAGTTGGTGAATTTAAACCAACTGAGAGTGAAGTAGGTATTGAAGTAAGTTCCATTATCATTATTGTAGATAATGTTTTTGGGAAATTATAATAATAATTTTACAGAGTAGAAATGATTATGAAGAAGAGGTTCAGAAGAGTATCTGCAAAGGCTTGTGGAGGTTTGTGTTATATATTGATATTATAATATATATATATACTTTAATAATAATAATGATAATTCAATGACATTACCTGTTACTAGTTGACAAAGGAAAACAAGATGTTGAACATATGAATTCTAACAATGATTGCGGCAGCAGTAGTAGTAGTAACGGTACAAACACAAATAAAAAACTTCACCAAAGTTGATTTGTGAAAATGTTATGTAGAGTTTTTAATCTTATAAATAATATTTTAACAAATTTATTTGCAATATACAGTATACACAAAATATCATTGGTCTTGCTTGACCTCTTAATAAATGATTATTGCATTGAGGATTTACAAGAGGAAGTTGCAAAAAGAAAACGAGATGTTGAAACACATTCATTAGCACTAGAGAATGAGGAGAATGACAATTATCTGAAAAATCGAAACGATTTAGAAAACCAGGAAATAAACCAACAAGCCCAAGAAATTCAACAACTAAAACAAGAATTATATTCAGCCAATAAGCCTTTTACCAACATTAAAAAATAAATTACAGATTACAAAAATATGTGAGAAAATTTGCCGAAAAAAGAAAATAATTTTTATCAAAACTGTTTTTAATAATATACATTCACCAATATTAAGAGGTAGTAAATTATTTATCTTCTAATTTCTTTTCTTTTTAGGTTTCTTTATTAGTTATATAAATTTTCTTTCTTCCTGGTAAATATTTCTTTTTCTTGGGCATCTAGGTATCGCTTAATTTGAAAATACTCGGGAGCAATTTTTTTCACCTTGATCCTTTTTTAAAATTTTTCTAATAATAATGCTGATGTAATTCTTGGGTTCCATAGTGGATCTCATTATTTTTATATAAGAGTAGTTCTATATACCATTTAAGAAAAAAAACAATAACGATCCCAAATTCTTGGTAATACAAATTAAAATGTTCGCAGTGGACATGAAGAATGATGCACATGATTTAAAGTAGTTAGTTAGTATCAGTGATATATTTAGCAAGCATTAATCAGTAAAATGAAATTGTGTTGTGTAAAAAATACTACTGCAAAATCCAATTTAAATTTCTTTTTTTTTTTTTCGTTTTTTTTTATTTTCATTTACTATTTATTATTTATGAAAATTATTAAATATCATTATTTGTAATTGATTTAAATATTTATTAAAGTAAAACGATATTTTTAATTTATAAGAGAAAAAAGAAAATTGAAATTAAAAAGAAATGATGAATTTACAAATTTTGATTTTGTTGTTTTCTATGATATTAAGTTTATGTCATTCTCAAAAGGCTCCACCTGTATCAAATACGACCTTAATAATAGACGAAATTGGAACAATCACAAGTAATGCACATATAATAATCTCTTTTATGATTAATAAATTATTTGGTTACGATTAATATTTTCTTTTGCTTTATAATAATTATAATTATAAAGCACAACCAGCAACGCCTACTTTACCTGATAATATTAAGCCACCAAGTGGTTCAACCTTCTCGTTTTTACTTTACGCATCGGGTAAAAGAACATACACTTGTACCTCTAATTTAGGCCAAGGTTCTTGGACTCTTGGTAAGTGAATCAAATTAAATCAATTCAATAATTAACTAAATAACTGACTGATTGATTGGTGAATATGTTATTTATTTAGTTGGAATTGAAACTTATTTCATTAATCTAAAGAACACTGGCCAAAGCTTTGACCCTGGTTACCAAGTTGTCTATCATTATTCAGAAGATACTCGTAAGTAGCTTTTATTGTATCATCATCATCATCATCATCAAAGAATTTAGAATTATTTTAGATAAACATACATTTCTTTTTCTTTGTTTGTTCCTTTGATCCTTCTATTAGCGGTTAGTGGCAAAAATTTAACTTGGTCTGCAATAACAAAAAGTGATCAGTCCTATGTTGTTGGAAAATCGATTGCTCAAAGTAATGATACAGCAGATCCAGATAGAAATTTACCTTGGGAATTGGTCCAATCAACGGTATATAAATAAATAATTTTCTTATTGATTTTTGAATTGATGTTTTTAATTGGAACGAATTAATTAATTAATTGAATTTTTGTTTGTTTGTTTGTTTGTTCAATTAGTTTAATAAAGAGGGTGGAAAACTATCTAATATTACTTATATAGTTAGATTAAATACTTATTCCGGACTTGAACCTCCTGCCAATCAATGTAATAATTAATTATTTAAAAATTTGTTTTTTTCTTTTTAATTAATTAATTAATTCAATTCAACTCAATCCAATCCAATCTAATCTAATTCAGGTGGTGTACAATATGTTAGTGGAACGAATACAATTGTAGGCTATACCGCCGATTATTGGTTTTACTCGGGTGGTTTGCCAAAAACTGATGATCCAAAAACTCCAGCAAGTACAGCTGATCCCACGGCAACGACAACGGCAACGACAACCGATAAACCGAGTGCTAGCAATATGCAAATCACTTACAATAATTATTTGATAATATTTAATTTCTTGATGCTTTTTGTTGTCACAACCCTTATTATTATGTAAAATGTTTTTTTTAAAGCATAATTAAGATTTTAATTCTCACTACGATTAATAATAGTTAATTTTCCTTGATAAAGGAAGAAAAATTAATATAGTGATAATAAACCAATACTAGTAGATCTGGTGTGTCTCAACACCACAATTGTACTATCGTGCTTTATAATTCAGTATCCACTCTCTTATCATTATTTTGCTTTTGCTTCATTGCTCAGGCTTTGTTTGGTTCGAGCTTCCATATGGATTTTTTCTTTAGTTAACTCTTGAATAACGCCGTGTTATATAATCAATTCAAGTTAAACTTGAACGAAATTTTGTTTATATATTCTCTAGGATTAATGCTATTGAACAGTGTACTTTGTTAAGTAAAGTTACGAATTCTTGTCCTCTATTATATGTTTTGTTAATTAAAGGAAAATCAAATGAATAGGTTTTAAGCTATCTTTATTTGCTTGCTATTGATTAATATAAAATATGCCCAAACATCAAGCTTCAATTAAAGAGTTGGCAGATAAATATGAGATGAAGACTACATACAATCTTATATTTGATTATTAATTGTCTTACACATTCATACTATACACGAAGTTGAAATGGTCGAAATTATGTCATATCACATGAGAACATGGCTTATTAGAATAGCCTCATAAAGGTGATTCAAATAATGGTATTTTAATATTCATAGCGTAATAAAAATATCTCACTAACCAGTGATCCGAATTTTATGAATTAGACTAGACATCTTATCAAGAGAATTCGAATGATAATCTAAAACAGCCAGATATTGAACCAAGTTATGGTAATTTAAAATTTTTGATTAATTTTTTGACCATTTTGACTTTTAATTCAACTTTTGGGCTTTAATTTCGACTTCATGTATAGTTCATACTCTTTTATAATTTTCTATGTGATTTCAGTCACTCCCGTTATATATAGTTATAGTGACAATCTCGTTATTAGTAACATTTTTTCAAAATCAAATTTTATAAATATTAATCTACTCCCGTTATAATGACATTCATTATACGGTGCAGATTAATATTGGTTCTTTTCACCTTTCTTTTATTAACACGTACTATTATGAGTTTTTTTAATAAGTTGTATAGCAGATGAAACAAATTTACAGATATCCTTTGTTTATCCA